GCATTGGAGATCAGTTTCAGAAGATGCTAATAAAACAAGGTCGTCTGCAAACAGCAACCTTCTCGACTTCTTTGAATCCCTAAAGAAAGTAAATAAAAATATTTTCAACAGAGTCGTCAGTCCACCAAATAGAGAATTGCGACGAGACAGATGGACGATATGAGGAAACAACGTCTGAAGCATTATGTCTGAAATTAATGTCATTTATCACATTGAAAAATGAAATCTGGGTAATTATGCAACGTGATACTGTCCTTTTGAATGTATAATGAAGTTGATCATGTTTCGAGCAAGCCACAGTGTTTCACGACACTATGATACTCGTTCATAAATCCTAAAAGTGATGCGTATCAGAAGTACTGCTGTTAGTTGAGTAGTTAAGCTTCCTCCCAATGACTCTTGTGTTTGTGAGACTCATCTCAGTTTCATTCTATAAACATCAAAATATGTTCGTGCGGCGGGTTAAGGTTAAGTCATTTTGCACACAACTTCTCATAGACCAAATTTTATGAAGTATTGCCTCTCTTTGCTTCCATTTGCCTATGATGGCCATTTGAGCAAGCGATGGCTCCATGGTGTTGGAGCACCTGCAGTACTTGAAACATCACGAATCGTTTCGTTTGTTACAGCTGCATCGCACCCATTACGAACGTTGCTTCAGAAGCTGGTATTTCTTGTATGCTACCGCATAAACATTAAAATGGGAACGATACAGTCGTTGCGAACAAAATTATGCGAAATGCACCTGACGCTACAGGTGCTGAAATTCCAGGTGAGCCTGGCATGCTTAAATGCCCCCCTCCCTGCCGCCCACTCGAGGAAACTGAAATCAATAATGGTGGTTAATATGTCGTGAAATCTGGTTGTGGAGGAGTTCTACGCCAACTTCTTTCTAATGCTTTGATATCGTTGGCGATGAAGTTGGGCAAATAGAAATCTACGTACTACAAGACCGTCGTGGAGGGTGGGTAAGGGGTGAAACGATAGATATAGAAGTGTGCCATGCATTTTAGTTACTTCAGTCCTTGTCATTGGTAATGCAATGAAACTCATTTCCTCTGCAAATTAATCAAGTGATTTTGACCAATCATCTTTTCTTTAGAATGGATTTGGCAAAATACAATGGAATTAATTAAAACGCCTTTCTTTTTTACCTGCTGCTAGCCGCCACCCTATGAAAGACCGGTTTCGCTCTGCGCATCACTGCAAAATTAGAAAATGATATAATGACTCGTTTTTCAGCCACTTGCATGTTATGCTTCATATCTTACATAGTGTATTTTGAACATCATTTCCATCATCTGAAAGCGAGACCATTTGGTATTACTTTGTGATTGATTTGGAGTTACACGTTACTAATTGCAAGTCTGCCTATTTAGACTCGAAAATCTTTGCTGCGCACATTCCGAAGTTCAGCGAGTTTGTTTACTCAGTCTTTGTTTGTTTCGCCCTCTTCGACACTGAGTGGCGAAGTTTCGAACTGTTCCGTCGCCAACGGCAAGTGTAAGCCATTTCTTTAGCGGCGGATGTGCATATGACGATTTCGCAGAGAACGAAAGGCCTCTGCGTGGTTGCTCTTCTCGTGTTGTTGAGCGGCTGGTGCCGCAGCGAACCTCTGACCGACGGATACGAGCATGAAAACGTGCTGTCGATTCGCCTCGCCGGGGACATCGTCATCGGCGGCCTCTTCCCGGTGCACGAGGATGGTTCCGCCGAAGGCAGTCACTGTGGTCAGGTTAAGCCAGACAAGGGCATTCAGCGGATGGAGGCGATGCTGT